CCCCCCCCTCCTCCCCCCTCCCAATATCTTGCTGTCCTAGCGCGCTACGGCTGACACTCGTAAATCCAAAGCTGCGATTGCCGTCGCGGATACTTCGGATATATAATGTTCGGATGGTATCGAACAACTCGTACGTGCCGAACGGGCGGTTAGCCACGAACGCGCGAGACCGGCCCGCGAGTGTTTGTCAGCGCCGGATTCGAATCGACCATCAATGTTTTTTGTTCTTATGTTTGATCGCACACGACTATACACGCCTACTCATCATTTCCAACGTTTTGAAATATCCGCGCGAATAAATATTTTGATATTTCTACTTTTCTAGAGCCCCTATAGAAATACGAGTCCGGCCAGTCTACTAGTTTCCACTCGTGTACGTATCACGTGCACTTATACACAACTGTATATAAGACGTTTTACATATCTGCTTTACAACTTTTTTTCACGTGCTCAGTCATCATCCGATTGGTTTCCGCCATTTTTTTTACCAAGCCGATCGAAAATAGAGCAAGACTGACCAGACTTTTACTTCCTAAGGACGTTATATATTTCGATAAAGGAGCGACGCGTATCATGTAGCGCGAGCAATGACATGCGCTTCTTTTCATCGTCGCAAATGTTTTTATTTCAACTTTATATAAGGAGAACATGTACTGGGTGTTGCAAAACTGACGATAAATATTTTAGACATATTTTTTGTAACATTTTAAAGATGACGTAGAGACTTTCAAACGGAGAGAATTTAACAAAATTATACGAATGACACACGGAGGTAGAATTTCGCGCGTTCAAGGATGGCAAGGATTGATCAGTATTAAAAGTCCTGAATGTTGTTATTGTCAAAGAATACGAAGTTCGAGGAAGCACCTTCACGCTCGAAATTCTAGTCCTGTTAGCCGTGATTCTTAAACTCTTCTCATCTGAAAACTAACATAGCCTTGGCATTTTCGAGTTAATTTTTTTATCTTAAAATGTTACAGAGAACTGTAACTTTGAAATATTTATCATCAGTTTCGGGACCACCCTGTATAGATGATTTTATGGATATTAAACGTGTGTGTGTGTGTGTGTGTGCGTGTGTGTGGTGTTCAATGCAATCGCGCGCGGCAATTCGATAATTGTTGAGGCGCGCCATTTTGAGCGTGTGATTTCGAGAGTCGCACGCTCGCTCGTGCGGCATACCGAACGCTCTCGGCTAGGAATAGTCGGGACAGGATACGGGAACAGTTACCAATGCGTCAGGGCCAGCGTGGCTCGAGGCGATCGGGCAAGGACGGTACTGCTACGGGCAAAGATCTTCAATCGCTCTCCTCCCGCAGGAATTTATGATGCGAAAAATCTTGTTTCCTCCGCGGGAATTTCGCCGATTTCTCGCGCGGCTCGCCTAGCGATAGAGCTTACGGATCGTCCTTATAGAAAAAGCGAGCAACTAAGTCGAACGGCGAGTCGTTCGCTCGGAACGAACGCGATATCTATCGACATAGAATTCGTAGAGAAAGACGTTGCGCGCTTCCGTTTCGATTCCTTTCCTCTCGAAATTCGAAATTGATCTTGACTTGACGAATATTCGACGGGATGTGCTATCTTTCTTTTGTCACTCGATATTATCTTGCCTTACGTGTTCTAATACTCGAATGAACATTTTAAGTACAGCCCAATTAAAGTTAAGCGAAACCTAAGTAGTTCACTTAATCGCGTCTGTTCATTCGTAATTTCAGATACAGCACAATTAATCATGATCGGAGCTTTGTATCGACAGTTATGTGACGATTTTGTCTCTCCTGACAAACAGGGAAATTCTCATTTTCACGGTTAATATTCATCCGTTCCAAATATTGGCGACGCGGGCGCGATCGATCGGGGGTAAATAGAGAGGCGCCTTGACGTGTCGATGAGATCGGCAAGCGCGGACGATATAGGCTGATACAGGCCGATACTCCTAGATCCGACTGAACGGGCTACGGAGGTCGTTGAATCCCATTAAGCGGTACTCTCCGATCGTTTCGCTGCCGACCACCTGTATGCCGACGTTTTTTTTCAGTCGATGTCTCCACATCCGCGTCTCTCTCCCACCCCCCTTCCTTTCTCTCTCTCTCTCTCTCTCTCTCTCTCTCTCTCTCTCTCTCTCTCTCTCTTTCTATACCCTGCTGCGGCATGCCTACCACGATATTGCGTCGGATGACGACGACGAAGAGGAGGTAGACACCAGGACGAGAGCAATTACACTCCTCGTCGTTGTCGTCGTCGTCATCGTCGTCATCGTCGTCCTGACGCGCTCATAGTCGGTGAATATCGCGCGCTACAGCTAGAATATTGTATTCTCCTTTTCTCATGTGGCTAATGCGGCCACACCTTTCACCAACACCCAACCCAACAGGCTCTGATCCGACTAGCGTACTTAGCTAGCTAGGCTAGCTGGATGACTTGGCTTGCCGATCGAAGGAATAGCCAGGCGCGGTCGCTCGTTCGCTCGTTCGCTGCGACCGGCAATACGACTTGCGCGCATCTCGAGAGTCGCCTAACAGTAAAGTCTTTCTCTTGCTTTGTTCCGTCGTTGGATGGCTCGGAGAGGATCTCGTAGGATTTTCATTACGCTCCTCCCGTCACTTACGGGATACTCTCGCAATTGTCTCTACTCTCTCCTCGATCCCGAGGAATTTTCAGTATGCCGATGTGTGCAACTTAAAATGCAACACACGCCATCTCTTCATGTATGTCATTTACGTAAATTTAGGAATTAAAAGTAGAGCTCGGACATAGATTCGAACGAATTGCATGGTCAAGCTACGAATAGTTTCAAGTCGAAACATTTAACACTCAGATTCAAATAACTTTTATAATTCCAAAAGTCAACGATACTTTGAACTGTTTAATGGATTTGCGATGTTCGGAAATCTGGCAGTTTGGAAAGTTTAGTTGAGGAAAACTTGCGAAAATAGCATTCATTGAGACGTGAATAGCTTTACTTCCTTTCTTTTCACATGTTACTCAACTTCACAATTTTATCCGAACTCAAAGAATTCAACAAATTGTCTTCAAAATTTGCAGTAGATAAATATTTATTGCTTTAATTTTATTTATTTATAAACTATTGTTTTACTTGAAATAAATTATATTCAAATATAATTCAAAAAGAAGGTTACAAATTGTCTGAAAATAATCCTTTAATCTTTCGAGAACTATGCAGAAAACTAGTGAAAATTTCAATGTTGTCTAAAGCTCACAAAAAATTTCTTTTTTTAAGCCTGAGATATACAATTAAAAAGTGTAGGCATTATATAGGAACAAAAGAATAACAAATTTCAACCAATCAGAAACTGTGTATTCTGATTTTTTTTTAGTTTCTATGAATTTGGTAATTTTGACATATAGAAAACTACATACTGGATAAAATCGGAAATTTACTTCTGTTTTTGTAGGATTAAAAAAACCTTGCAAAAATTTTCGACTTTCTAACGTGAAAGCTTAAAGTTTTCTCTTATAAAATAATTTTTTTACGTTCCTTTTTGTTACTTAATGTGAAATTTTTTATTACTGAGTTATCGCGAATTAAATAAAAGGAGTATTTTGACTGCTCATAATTGTTGATTGCTCATAATTCCGTTAAAAATCGTCATAATTAAGAAAATGGAAAATAGGAAATTCTTAAAGCTGAAACTTTACTCTGTCGAATGATATATAATTGCTAATTTTTTTTAATACGTAGACATGATAAAAATGAAATAGCGCTATACTTTTATTTCGACCCAATATATAATTTACAACTTTATGTAAAATACTTATCCCCAATTATCTTTTTAATATGTATGAATCGTTTATAATAAGAGCATTATATT